TATATATATACTGTATATACCACAGTTTCCACACAAATATTAAGCAAGTTTTTGGCACTTTAGTAAGAAATGTTTCTTGAACATTAAATCAGCATATTAGAATGATTTCTGAAGGATCATGTGACACTGAAGACTGGAGTAATTACTGCTGAAAAATCAGTTTTGAAATCACAGGAATAAATTAATATACTAATTTATTATAATTTATATTACTAAAATATATTTAAAAAAGAACATTTTATTTCAAATTGTAATAATATTTCACAATATTACTGTTTTTACTGTATTTTCCATCAAATAAATTCAGCATTGGTGAGTATAAGAGACTTTTTTCAAAAACATACAAAATCTTACCGACCCCAAACTTTCTTGTGTAGTTTAGATTTGTGCTCGTAGTCCCAGTTAAACACAAAAGTGTGTTAAAATCAAGTGTGCGCACATTTTATGATGAGCTTGGTCACAAAAAGTACTTTACAAACCACTCACCACTACACGCAGATCCAGCTTGGAAGAGTTCAGTGGCCAGCAGGACAAGACCATAATATGAAAAAGCATTACAAAACCTGTGTGTGTAAAACAAACATAGGTGATTTTTTAGTTTTACATTTAAAAAAAAAGAAAGTTTTATATGGAAGGATTTGACATTTTTAACAATCTGCATGCCAGATAACCCAGACCAAAAGTGTTGTTTTGCGGTATTTTGGAATAAAAAGATCTCTAATTCTCCCACGCTCAATCTAAAACACATAAACACAAATCAATGGCAACTCTACTTTACAAAATAAACATAAAACCCCTACATTTGAAATTCTTCAATAATGTGTGAGTAGGAGATTTTGAGAAAAGATGTAGGACTGTTAGCCCCACATACCTGTGTGTTGGCTATAAGTCTTCCAGTAGGCACAGAGCTCCCATTAGCTGCTGCTATGTATTTCAAAGTGTCTAGGGCCTTGTCTTCTCTGCCTCTCAGTACATCAAATCTAGCACTCTCTGGTAACTACTACATGACAAATACACACAATTCACAACCAAACAATAGAAACAGCAGTATATTAAGGCACCTGGACACGAGCCTTGTGTCTAGTAACAGTTTAAACATTGTTACAGCCATACATACACAGCAGGAGGCAGCAAAGACAACAAGAGGAAGGGTGGAGAAAGCTAGCAGCCATTTCCAGCCTAATGTGGGCATGACCACCATAGCCAGTAACACTTCAAACACAGCACCCAAGGCCCAGAACACCTATTAGCACAGAAGATTGATTCATTTATAATTCATTATTATCAAGACTCATTATAAGGACAGCAACATGTCATAAGATAATTAAGGATACTGTAGACTTTAATCATTCTCATTGTAAGAGAATATTATAAAGGCATGTTTATGTTATATTTAACCTAATATACATTGCTTCAGTCAGTTTACACAGCAGGAGGCAGCAAAGACAACAAGAGGAAGGGTGGAGAAAGCTAGCAGCCATTTCCAGCCTAATGTGGGCATGACCACCATAGCCAGTAACACTTCAAACACAGCACCCAAGGCCCAGAACACCTATTAGCACAGAAGATTGATTAATTTATAATTCATTATTATCAAGACTCATTATAAGGACAGCAACATGTCATAAGATAATTAAGGATACTGTAGACTTTAATCATTCTCATTGTGAGAGAATATTATAAAGGCATGTTTATGTTATATTTAACCTAATATACATTGCTTCAGTCAGTTACAACAACAAACAACTATCTCAGTAAAATGTATAATATAATTGCATATTGAAAAACGTAATAGTTGAATAAACAGTCATCTGAATTACTCCTAACAGGATTATAGATATCCCTCTGGATTTCATCGGGAGGAATTCAGTATATAATGTCACTCTGTAAGGGAATGAATCAAATATGATAAAAAAAACATGATCCTTCAGAAATCATTCATATATTCTGATTTGCTGCTCAAGAAACATGATGAAAACTGTTGTGCTTCTTCATATTTTTGTGGAAACTGTGATACATTTTTAAGATTCTATGATGAACAGAATGTTTAAAAAACAGCGTTTATATGAAATATACATTTTGTAACATTATAAATGTCTTTACTGTGATTTTTTTGCAATGTGTCCTTGTTGAATAAAAGCATTCTTCTAATTTAAAAAAATCTTACTGACCCCTACAGATTCAGATGTAAGTAACGTGAGTTATGTAATCAGATTACTTTTTTTCCCAAGTAGTAAAGTAACGCATTACTTTTTAATTTACAAGAGAATATCTGAGTTACTTTTTCAAACAAGTAACGCAAGTAACTTTTTTTCCCCAATTTATTGATTGATAGCTCTCCTGTCCCCATGTTGAGAGAAATCAGAAGATGTTACTGTAGTTCTAAAATAAAAAAACACACAGATTCAGTATTCCTCCAAATGAATAAAAATAATGCAACTCAGAATATGATGCAAACCTGCAATAATTAAATGTTAAACAACACAAATATCCTATATGTATCCCATTCTATTAACCAATGTCTTTGCTTCTGACCTTCGATGATCCAGTTCAACCGTACTAATAAGCACAAATGACTCTAAACAAACATTTGTGCCTTTTTTATTGCTGAAGTGTGTTGAAATTTCTTCTTCTGCATTCTACTATACAGACGTAAATTTACTTTCCCTTCAGCCTGAGACTTATCCATTTCACTTTTGGTGTGAAAAGTCTTTTATATTAGCCAAAAATAGAACTTTTTTATTTTAAAAACAAACAAGCAAGCCCTGTCCAGATTTAAAAAGTAACGCAAAAGTAACGTAACGCATTACTTTCCATAAAAAGTAACTAAGTAACGTAATTAGTTACTTTTTTATGGAGTAACGCAATGTTGTT